ACCCACAGCGCCACCCGCGTCCCAAATTGAATGGTTTAGTTTATGTAAAATATGCAGGGATTTATGAAATGCAAAATGAACCCTGGAAAGAGAAGAAGGGAAGTCATTGATATCTTAATGATGTTTAAATGAGTATTTTAAATTGTAAAACAGAAAATTTAATAAAAATTACATATATAAAAAAGAAAAACAGATGCTCTAAAAAAAGAATGTTACTGTTACTCAACAATTATATTCCAATTCAACAAAATGAGTGACGTCCCACTCACCCAACACTGATGTTTATAATCCATACTACATACAATTGCATTTTAAGGTTCCGCCTTATCTACTTTAATCCTCTCTAGTATGTTTCTTAATATGTTCTGCTGTTTTCTTTCACTTCAAACCCTGCTGCGGTCTTCACGTATGGGAAATAACTTTTTATATAGACCAGAAAAGATTTCCAGTCTTCTTCAAAAGATTCTGTAAATCTGTATCTTTAATCAGTTCCATCAGTTTTGCCATCTTTACTTATAAAATTATTATTAGTGTAGAACAAGGGATAGGTAACCACAGGTTGGGGGGGCGGAGCTGAATGTGGCCCTCCTGTCCTCTCTATATGTGGCCCTTGGAACTCTGGGAAGGCTACACCCCTCCAAGCCTTCACTGATCCTGTTTTTCTCTCTCCTCCAGAGATTTCACTGGGCTGAAATGTGACCTCGAATTGTATCTTGCTTGGATGGAGGATGGCAAGTGGTTTGCTGAATCTACTACTAGTTTGCGGCCCCTGGAAGGTCGCCCACAAGGGAATGCCACTCTTGGGGTCGTTGTTGGCTGGGGTAGTTGTGGTTGATGCACAAAGTGAGCAGTGGTTCAGTCCCTGTTAAACATTGTAAGTGTTAGAATTCCTGCTCCATGATTGCAGTCATGGGATTGTTGTCTATCACATGACGGTATATGTTTTGACTCCACAGAGTGGGAAGTGACGGAGACAGGATGTTTGTGTTACTGTGTCCCGTGAAGTGGGACAATTGTCCTTTGTTTCTCTTTTTGCTGTCTGATGCTAGAGAGAGAGAGGGAGCCATGTTGCAGTGCTCCGTGTATGTTTATATGTAATTAAAGTAGATTAGCTAAAATGCTGAGTTGCTGAGGCCTATCACACAAGCTGCGAAAACTCTGTGGATCCCTAAGTGTGCCGATGTCTGTTGGCATCGGTCGCTGTGATGTTTGGGCAGAAGAAAGCTTTTGAAGCTCCCGAACGAGTGACTAGGAAGGAGGGAACATGCCAGTCGGGCATGTGTCTCTACCAGGGTCCTACTCGAGTGTAGGACGAGCTCCTGACAGTAAGGGTGCCAGATGTAGCGCTGGAAAAAAGCTTTGAATAATTGCATAACATGATTATTTGGGAGCAGGGCTATCTTCTCTCTCCCACTATGAAAGTGCCATGGCAGGAGAAGCAGCACATACTAAAAATTCTCCCTCCTGTACTAAAGGTCACCGTTGAACCCTGTTTTTTGAGCATAATCTATAGGCCTGGAGAATTTGCTGGTCCCTAGACTGCAATGTACATCACATACACAAGAGGGCAGTGGCATGTCACATCTAGAGACAGTGTGCTCCTCCCATCCACCCTGCCCCTCATGTGCTTGGGAGCCCATCCTAAGGGTCTAGATACTTCCTGGGCCCTTTTTTTCCCATGGGAAGAACCAGTCATCAAACTGAGAATTTCACACAAAAAGGAGCTTTTTGTTTCATGGAACTGCAATTTTATGCATTGTTGTTGTTTAGTCCTTTAGTTGTGTCCGACTCTTCGTGACCCCATGGACCAGAGCACGCCAGGCACTCCTGTCTTCCACTGCCTCCCGCAGTTTTGTCAAACTCATTTTGGTAGCTTCAAGAACACTGTCCAACCATCTCATCCTCTGTCGTCCCCTTCTCCATCTTTCCCAACATCAGGGTAGTATTGGAGCCTCAGCTTCAGGATCTGTCCTTCCAGTGAGCACTCAGGGCTGATTTCCTTCAGAATGGATAGGTTTGATCTTCTTGCAGTCCATAGGACTCTCAGGAGTCTCCTCCAGCACCATAATGCAAAAGCATCAATTCTTCAGCGATCAGCCTTCTCACTTCCATACATCACTACTGGGAAAACCACAGTTTAAACTATACGAACCTTTGTCGGCAAGGTAATTTTATGCATACTGAAGTTTATGAAATTTTGATTTCTGCAATAAGGGAAATCAGTCTCCTTGGATGAGGTCGAAGGAGAAGAACAGACCATGTCATCTATAAACCAGGGAAGAGGTAATGGTGGAGCTCAAGATGTTGCTGGATTCCAAATCCCATCAGCCCAAACCAGCAAGGTTGGGGATGGTGGGGGGGGGGGTTTGCAGTCCAACAGATGGAAGACCACGGGCTCTGCATTCCTGCAATATATGCTCCAGTCTTACAGATGTAATTTGTTATTCATTTATTGGCAAGGAGGACCTTTCACAATAGCTCTGTTGGTTAGAGTGTTGTGCATCACATGCTCCTCTTCAGCGTTACAGTCGTACCTTTCTTGTTGAACAGAATCCATTCCGGAAGTTCATTCAACTTCCAAAAACGTTCAACAACCAAGGTGTGGCTTCCGATTGGCTGCAGGAGCTTCCTGCACACAATTGGAAGACGCGGAAGCTGCACCGGATGTTTGGCTTCCAAAGAATGTTCGCAAACTGGAACACTCACTTCCGGGTTTGCAGCGTTCTGCAGCCAAAACGTTTGACTTGCAAGGCGTTTGGGATCCAAGTTACGACTGTACAGACAGTTAACTCTTGAATGGCATTAAAAGAGGATCAGACCCTGAGATTAAGAGTCTCATGCTCTACCGAATGAGATATCCCACAGGTAACAACAACAACAACTCACCCCAATAACCCCTCCCCTCTGAATTCTCCCTTTCTGCCAGCAGCAGAAAATCTTTTATGGGCGTGAATGGGTTACATCCAAAAGTGGGTACCCAGACTCAATTCTGCCTGGCCCCCCAAGCCAACCCAATTAACTAGTCTACCATGTGGGCAAGAAGCACGGGGATAGGCTAGATGGCTCCAGATTAATCAGGCAAGACAGCATGGAATTCTACATACAAGGGCGAAAATTTACCCAACACCAAATATACCAGTCCGATTCCCAGGGATATTACTGTGCCAAGCTTGGTAATGAAGCATTGCTGCACCAGGCCTCTAGGTGGAGCAACTGAGCATGCAGTCTTCACCCAACAGATAATTTCAGAAAGGAATATGGAAGAATTTCCAAGAGACAAACTTAAACTAGGTAACGGAACACCTAATCCGTATTGGCCTTCTTTGGCCCTTTAAAAGCTGCTAAATTTCAGGTAGTCACCTTCCCACAACTGGTCTTTGAAAGAACAGCCCTTCAAACAGAAGATGCTTTCAATAAAGGTATGTATTCGTTTTATTTTTTCTGTCCTTCTCTTCAACCAAAAAAAAGGCCCCCTGAGCAACTTACTATAAAATGAAAATATAAACAGTCCCTGGGTTCAGGCTTACAATCTAAGAAGAAATGAAACACAAAAGGAAAATGTACTGGGAAGGAGAAGGAGAGAAGCAAACTCGGGTTAAAGTTCTTAGTTATGCAAGTTCATCTAATGACCAGCTGGGGTGGACAAATTCAAGGCTGAACTTTCAGCTGCGCTGATGGTGCAACCCTGCACCCCTCCTCTCCACTCCTCTCTTGCAGCCTTCAAACAGAGAACTGTCCTCTGTAATGCAGGACACGCCCTGGAGCTAGAGAAGAATTTAGATGCATCATAAGTGGCATTAAAAGTAAAGAAAAAAGCTTTGTTGTGTTGTTCTGATGTTTACTGGCTTTTTTCTGGAGACACTGAACCAATAAAAAACGAAATGGTTGACAACCCTGTTTCTGCTCAAACCACTTCCTAAAGCTGGCACCAGATGCACCGTGGGTAAGAAAGCCAGGACAACGCTGTCCCGGGCACATTGGTGCACTTATATAAACCTCCCTCCTCCCTTTCCTGTTTGCTTGAGAGGCATTATTAATCCTATAAGGAACAAGCTGTAAAACGGTGAAGAACACAGATAACTAGTGATATTGAGTCACAAGGTTGCTGGAGGAACGAAGGCTCTTTTATTGGGGAAGTCATTTAACATAATAGGAAGAGTGTAAAAGCGGGGTGGAGTGGGGTGGAAAGGTACACAAATATTGGCACAGGAGGAGCAGGTGCACAGGGGTGAAAGAGTCAACGCGGCTCGACCGAGTTACCAAGGGGCTGCTTAAAGCAACCAGAAGCAGCTCTCGCTCCATTCCGAGCTCATTTGGCTATGCAGGGCTGCCCTAACCACTAGGCGGGGTTGCTAGGTTCTCGCCCAGAGAAAGCGCCAATGCTTTTTAAATTCATGAAGGATGTAGTGGTTGCCAGCCAGCTGGTGTTTTGCTGGTCTGGACAGTAAAACCACGTCTTGCGCTGCACACCTCTTTCAACCTGGCTGTCTCAGGGACAGAAATCCCGCTTTAAGAGTATAGCGCAGATGGGGCCGTCATCTTCCGTTATTGCTGATACTGGGCAAAAGGAGTAGTCAGTGACAAAATGCTTTAAGGTCCCATGTTCAACTCAGGTAGGATTTGGAAAAACTGCTGTCTGGAGTGGAGCCTCGGAGAGCCACTTCTGTGACTGTAATGATTCATCTACGACCAACTGATGAGGATCAGGAATAGCTCAGCCCGCGCCAGGGAAAAATACACCTGGTCAGAGTTCGCCGGCGAGTTGTTATCGTGTTAATCTTGTTCCTCTTTGTTTTAAGATGAACATCGCTTGCTTTCCATTGCCTGTTGACCTCTCCCGCCTCCTTCTGTTTGCATCGCAGCGGCCTGCAGCCCGATCCTCTGCGTGTTTACTCGGATGTAACTCCCGCTGAGTCCCAGCAGGCTTACTCGCAGCAAGGATGTGCGCGGGTAGGATTGCCTCCCCAGCCCCATTTTCCAGACATGGCTCGGGAAGGTTCCAGGATCTGCTTACCTGGGAAGATGGCCTCGCACGCTGAACGTGCCGGGAGTTACTTCCGAGTAAGCACGAAGAGGATCGGGAAGCGAGCTCACTCACGGGCGCTCTCCTGACAAGCCCCATTCAGCATCTCCCGCGCCACGGCTCTCCTCGAAGTCCCGCCCACCCACTTGGCAGCCCCGCCCCCTGGCTCTTCGCGAGTCAGACGTCTTCCAAGCGGTCCGCTAGGACACTTTTCGGTTGGATGCAAAGGGTCCAGGTGGAGCGGCGGGCGAGATCCAGGACTCGAGCGAAGAGAAGCCAGCAAGGGACCCGCTATCTCCAAACTTACAGAGCAGAGAAAGAAGATCTGAGATATTGCAAAAGAAATCCCGAGGACAAGACTGGGCGGTGGTGATGCAATAGAGGGTTTTCTTCCTCCTTTCCTGAAGGGACCCAGGTGTCCGGTTTCCCCAACCTAGGGAGGTAAGTGCTAAGGTAGATGTCAAATATATGATCGGGAGGTGCTGAGTGATTGGTTTCTAATATCTAAGATTCTCCTGCATTTCTGATCCCCATTCTCTTAACAAACCAGGAACTAAGTAACCAGTTGTTGATTCGGGTCCTCCAGAACTTGAAGCTCCTCATTACATATGCATTTCCCACAAAAAGAGAGAAATCTTTGTAATCTGCTGCAGAGCCAGCTGGGAAGAGAGCAAAAGAAAAAGGGTCCTGATTATGCCTGTGATTGTGAAAGACAAAGAGATACGCATGGCATTTATTTATCTTTTTGTATCTGTCTCTTTCAGTCCAAGAAGCTCAGAGATGGCGTATCGGGAGCGGGGATTATCTGCACAACAACCTTGTGAGGTTGAGTCATATACAGATAGATGAGAATTATTGGAGGCAGTGTGGTGTAGTGGTTAGAGCATCGGACTAGGACCTGGGAGATCAAGGTTCAAATCCCCACTCAGCCACGAAGCCCACTGGGTGCCCTTGGACCAGTCACTGCCTCTCAGCCTAACCCACCTCACAGGGTTGTTGTGCAGATTAAAGGGCAGGTGGCAGGGGGAAGAACCATGTCGCCACCTTGAGCTCCTGGGAGAAAAAGGTAGAAGAAGCTTACTCAAGGCAGTAAGCTTTGCTGCTGAGTGAAGGTTTGAACCCAGGGCTGCCTGCCGTGCAAAAAGCCACACATCTAAAGCTCTGTTGAGTTTACACAATTTGTTGGGTGGTGGTTTGGGATCTTGGCCGGAAACTCTAGAGCTGTTGCCTATTCTACACTTCCAAAAGTGATATCAGGAGGGGGTGGGGGAAGGAAGCAACTACTGGAGTTCCATCTCCAAGGATGATATACCTTCTGTGAAATTGACTTCCAAAAACAGGGATTCCAGTTCCCACAGTGCATAAGCTCTCTGCAAGCACATAGGAGCATGCATAGAGCCCCTTCCGACATGCTGCAAACACCCAAGAACTTGGAGAAGGCTGGCTTCAGCCTCTGGTGCCAAGAGGCATACCAAATCCATGTGTCTAAGTGAATCCCAGCATCTAGGAATTTATATCCTTGGATCTCGTTCTCAACCATTCCTGTAAGTCGCAAGCTCACAACAGAGAGCAATTCCCTTTCTGGACATGCTTGCTTTCACCGCTGAGCACCCCATTAGTCACTAGCAGCTAGGTGACTCGTGCCTATACCAGCTAAGTCTTAGATTCATTTGACTGGATTCTGTTTTCATTCAGGCTCTGCATAAGTACTTTGGCACTCCTCCAACCATCTAACTCTTACACTGCGGGTGTTTGGGGGGCAATATATTTCCTTATTGTGTGTGTAGCCAGGGTATTTATACCCTATAAGTTATCGCTTTATGCATGCTCTGGCCAATAAAAACATATGCCGTAATAAACTTGTTCACCTTTAAGATGCAGTAAGACTCTATGTTTCCAGTAACCCACAAACATGGTTTCCCCTCCAGAAGACGTCCCTCTGAAACTCTCAGCCTCCAATGGAGGATCCAAGTTCGATGGGATCCTTGGCAAAGTGTCCGGATGGGCTCATGCAGGAGTCAGTGAGGGCCCTGGTGGACTTACCTGGCTGTGGTAGAAAAGGCAGTGATGTCAGAACTGCCATCAGAGCCAAGTGGCAGGCGGCCATTTAAAATTCCCACAATGCCCTGCAGCAATGCTTCATTGGAGGAAATCAAAATGGTGACTTGGTGGCTTGCATCCTTGTTGATCGTAGGGCGTAGGGCATTGGCACTTGCATGGTGGCGGCAAGGAAGTGTGCTTGTTCCCTCTGGATGAATTATCCCCAAATTTCCCACCTTCTTTTAAAAAAGAAAGAAAAAGAGTAAGTTTCAAGCATTTGTAGAACCTGAGACACCATATACAGGAACTATTTTCTCATTTTTGCTAGGAGAGATGACCCTGATGTCCTCTTTCAGTATTTAACTCCTGCCCCAACTCCTAAAATACATGCAGACTCCTGTGGCATCTGCCCCAAGATAACACCTGTTGGAGCCCAGTCTCTATGGAACTTTAAAGAAGCGATGATAACTAGTTAACATAAGAATATAAGAAGAGCTATTCTGGTTTAGGCCAAAGGTACATCTGTTCCAGCACCTTGATCTCACACTGACCAACCAGGTACCTATGGGAAGCCTGCAAACTGGAACTGAGTGCAAGAACAACTCTCCCACTTTTTATTGCCAGCAAATGGTATTCAGAGGAATGAGTAACCATGGGTGAGGAGCTCATGCTCTTAATGCAGCAGGTGAAACAGTCCTCAGGTGTCTGCAGAGCACATGGTTCCTGTCTCTCGCCACCCAAGGGTGCTGCAAATGAACTTCCTGTCTTCTTTTCCCATTTTGTGGGCAAGTGCCATCCCAGTTTCCACCATTCCCCTTACATGGCAACCAGGTTGTATTCCCCCCAGAGGTGGCTGAATTCCAGGCACTCTTAATGTCTTCATTTATAATCTGGAGAAGTCCAAATACACTTGAGCTGATTTAGGGAAGGCTAGGGTTTAATTCATGCCAGAATTCTTCCCGGGCATCTGTTTTTCAGTGTTATGCCTCTCTGAAGCCTAGAACAGATGAAATAAGAACAGATGAAATTGTCAAACCACTAAGGAGTATCCCAACACTGTGAAAGGAAGATTAGAGACAGGTATTGACATCTGATGACTCCTTTCTTCTTGAAATTAAAGGCCATTTACAAGGATGGTGGTTGCCTATCCCTGTGCAACACGAACCACCAAGCTGGCCTTGGCTCATCAGCCACAAACCATAGCCTGCTAGAAAGTCATTCAGATTGATGTTTTGCTTGTTTTCCTGGGAGAGCTGAAAGATGGGGTTGTTGAGTACAAGGCAGACCACAACACATTGGAGAAGTGGACTGTGTTCAGCTTGGTGGGTCACCAGTTGTGGAGGCCCAATTTTGGTACTAATTGCACCAGCTCTGCCATATTCCTCAATCCTAGGGTTGCCATATTGCAAAAAGTAAAAACCAGGACACCCCACAAAGTTGTTGAGCTTTTGGGCCATGCTCCCAGGTGACTCACATAACCTGTGCGAGATTGCACCCTCCTAAAAAGCACTTTTCCAGTCCCATGTGCTTGTATGAGAGCATGATGCCCCGAAACACACGGTTTGGAATGCCACACAAGTTCGCAGCCCAGGAGGGGGAAAAAAGCTTTTTGAAGTGAGATTGTGGCGCAAAATCATGCAAGATTGTGATGCCAAAAATTGCTGCCGTGCTCTCATGTGAAAAAATGTGACGTAACTAATAACAATATCCAGTGATTGATTGATTGGTTTAACATGTGCACTTAGCTTTCTCAACAACAGTGTCAAGCTCAATGCAGCTCTCACAATGACAACAATCGCATTAAAATAATAATAAATAAATGACTGCCCTGTGCCAGTTGACTTACTCTGGGAAGGGAATTTCTCTCTCTCTCTCTCTCTCTCTCTCACACACACACACACACACACACACACACACCCTTCCTCCAGGATGGACCAAAGCAGCTTCAAAGCAGTTCCATCCCAGCCATGTGTTCAGAAGGATAGTGTGGCTGATAATGGTACTGAAGCGTCACTGAGAGGTGCACCAGAATCAGCAGGAATGCACTCCAGTTGTCTATTTCCCAGCAAAAGTCACACACCAAAGTAATCTCACCACTGCAAGCACATGGGAGCCAGGTTTCCATCCAGGGCAAACCAAGCCTAAGCTCAATTTAAGGTGGTGCCAGGCACCTAGCTTCCGTTCCAGCTGCCACTGAGTAATGCAGACCTCTTTGGCAATCAGGGTTGACAGACAGATCCTCTGTGCATTGTCCCTAATTCCCTTCAAAAGACGTCAGAGCTAGTGACACAATGCCACACCATGATGTGCATAGGATCAGGCTGCTAAATCTTTTTTTATCTTAGCTGGGGTTATATATAATGATTTGGCACTGGATTTCTTGAAAAGAGAAGCGGTGTGACTCAGGCTTGTGGAAAAACCATAGCCTTTGAACTGGAAGGAGTTCTCCTCTGTCCTAAGTCTGCAGGGTCTTGCATCGTGAGTGATGCTTGGAAGTGACTCTGCGCATGCTCCTGGGGTGATCTTGAATGGTACAAGTTGTTTGAGAGTGGAGCAGGCTGCCTTGCAAGGTGGTGGGTCTCCAGATGTTTTGGGACTACAACTCCCATCACCCCAGCTAACAGGACCAGTGGTCAGGGATGATGGGAATTGTAGTCCCAGAACATCTGAAGGGCCAAGTTTGGCCATGCCTGCTCTAGCCTAAGCAGCAAGCCCTGATCTCCAGATTGCCAGGGCTCAGCTGCCTGCTGTCAGGTGTGTGTGATCATATCAGTACAGAGGGGAAAGGTGGTGTGTAATGTTTGAAGCTGAACAACTGCACCGTACAATAGACTTCCTAGCTTGGAGGGCTGTCTGCCATCTCCCAGTGACAGAGGTTAAAGACCATCTTGTTAAGATTGCTGACAAGCTCATTGTTTTTGCTGGAGTATAACAGAAGAGCCTCTGCAATTCTCAAATCCCATCATGCCTTAGGAAGCATAACTGGGCAACCTGCCATCTGCTCCCCCCTCCCTGCAACTTTATCCCATCCAGAGCTGTATGCCTGCTGTGCTCTGTAGAATTTTCACAGGTAAAAAATGGTTTTCCCAGGTAGGCTTTCCCAGACAGGGAACTGTCTGTTGGACTGTTGGGCCACATTCACACAAGATATTTAAAGCACAATGACACAACTTTAAACAGTCATGGCTTCCCCCAAAGGATTCTGGGAGCAGCAGAGTGTTGAGAGATGTTAGCAGGCCCTTATCCCTCCCTAAACTACAATTCTCAGAGTAGTTTATCCAACAGTTCGCTCTTCCCAGGAAACTCTGGGAATTGTAGCTCTGGGAGTGGAATAGGGGTTTCACCTAAAACAGCTCTCAGCACCAACCTCATACTTCAGCACCTGGAATCCTTTGAGGGAA